AGGAGGAGGAGGAGAGAGAGAGAGAGAGAGAGAGAGAGAGAGAGAAAGGGTGGGAGGGAAGGAGTGCTGTTTTTCTAGAAAGCCATCGTATGAAATAAATCAGGAAACAAATCAATCAATCTGGTTCCCGAGTGCGTTGCGGGTAATCATCTCCACCACTTAACATCTCCTCCCCTCACCGGCACCGGCACCACACGCAGCTGGAGAGGAGGCCCAACTCACAAAAGTTGGGGGATCACAATGACATTGCAGAAATGGCGCAGCGTTCGTAGGATTGACTCAGCACACTAATCGAGCTCTCGCCAAAACGTTACCACCGGCGAATCCCGGATGGCCAATATTTGTTTCGGAAGGGTCAAGTTTTCTCTCAATCCCTACCCCGGTCAGGAACAACGAGTTCACGCCCAGTGCAGGCGGTGTGGTTCTTTGCACCCAAAATTGTCGAGCGCTGCATCTCCCCTTCCATTTCGTGCATCCGTTCAGGGTTCTGTGCATCGGTCCCATAACGGTGGGGCTTACCTCGCCATTCGTATCATAAAGTGTCGGGGGGAAGGGGGAATAAGGAATCCGCCGCAGGGCAGCCAGAGCGTTGTGCTCGAGCGCGGCGGTGTGGATGAGTGGTTCAACGCAATCGCACTGGATCGAGGCTGAATGGAACAGTGAATAGAAAGCCTTGTTTGAAGAGTGTGAGTGGGGGTATGGCCAGGGGGCGGAGGGAGAGTTGGGAGAAGAGACATCTGCCTACTTTTGTTGCCCACCCTGCATGGGGCGCCCCATGGTCACATTTAAGATGTTGCGAGTGATTGTTAATGATGAATTGTGTAGAGCAGTCAGTGCTTCTACTGGACCGCTGGGTTTGTTTGTTCCGGTCGCGGTGTGTGCTGCCGTGGAAAGTCAGCTGTGTACTCGTGCTAGTACGGTGCTCGAGTACTCGAGTACCGTATCATACATAATAGCGATATGTGGGGAGAGCAATCGGGAAGTTTTTCGCTCTCCATTCTTTCTTTTCTTTTTTTCCTCTTTCCCTCCTCACCTCTCTGCACTCGTAGCTTGTACGAGTGCTCGTACCCTACAAGTAATACATTTTTCTTTTTCTTTGTCTTTTCTCTCATTTCTTTTTCCTCCCTTTCCCTTTCAATCGGTGGTGGTGATGGGGGAGCATGGTGTGGTTCGCCGGTTGTACCGTACTCGTTAGTTGGCCCATTGCGGGGGGTTATTATTAGGGTGTGGGTGGGATGATGGGGTGGATGGATCATGGATGGATGCGGTGGGTTGGGTGGAGCTGCTCGAGTGCTCGAGTAGAGTACGGTACTCGTACAGTCTTGTCTCATCTTTCGCTCCTGTTCGCCTGCTTGCCTGCTTGCCTGCTTGCCTGCTGCTGCTCCGGCACTCGTAGCTGCTGCCTAGTTTCTTGGAGAGAGCGCGTGGGCAAGCTAAGACGCTGCTGGACAGGACCACCACCGCTCGCACAAAGCCGTACCGTCCACCACTCTTGAAGGCCAAATTTTCCAAAAGAAGTCCCCCTGGCTTCTTATCTTCAACCCACCGTACGGGTACCTTCCCCATGGTTGCCGAGACGATAACTGCTCGGCTCCCCTTCCCTTTCAACGTACGATACGGGTGCGGGCGCAGCTGGGAGGTGCGATCCTCACCTGGTCTGGGGCAGCGGGTTGCCGTGAGAGGGCTTACCAATTCTGAAGTAAATTGGCTGGCTGCTTCCCGGGTACGGCACACTTCGCTATTGCTTATCGGGATTACGTGATGCTTATACACTGTACCCGTGCTCGTATGATACATAAGTTTTGTCGTGCTCAGCTTGGCCCTGAAGTGAAAGGGAGCTCGGATGAGTGCCGGTACTCGAGTACTTGGACTGTACTCTGAGTACTAGTATAGTACTCTCGCTTAGAATTCTGAAGAGTCAAGTTTGAGCCGTTAAGGTTTCTAGGATACCGTACTGCTATAAGTTACGAGTAGCTCCGAGACTACCGTACCGGTACGGTACTCCATGGTCTTTGCCCCCACTGCCGGCATTCTACAGGGCCCAAGGCACAACTTTGCTATTTGGGTAAAACATTTACGAGTAATGAGGCGAGAGGGGCCCGGCTCCCGTGACATGACATACCTTGAGTTACACACTCACACGCTCACCGGGGCATCCCGGCAGTGCCGGTATAAGGCCTCCGAAATACCGAACAGTACCCACTATTCTCTCCGCAGTGTTTCGAGTATACAGGGGGTGAGTGGGGACTTATTAACCGGAATAGACAGGGATATATTCGGCCGGTTAACCTCACATAACTGTTCCATAACTTCTTCCCGGACCCTGGCACCTCTGGCATCTCTACCGGCAAGAAAGATACTTGGGCAAGGAATACATGTCTATAATAGCTTAGTCTACAAGTCACGCGCCGTTCTTACACCGGCAAGGCACGTGACAGCGGCGTGCCAGAAGTTGAAACTCAGTGACAAAAAGTCCCACCCTATCTGCTTACGTAATAAACTGGCTGCTAGACTCTCAAAAAGTGTGATATCATAATTATCATAACTTACTATACGAGTGTCATGCTTATACGGAGTACGGTAAGAACTTCAGGTAAGGGGATGACGGACACATATTTCCTTCTCTCCTCCCCCTTCTCTCTTCGGGTTCCGCACGTACAGGTTCAGCTGAGCATTCAGTTACTGCAGTACAGGGGCGCACCGTTCCCGAGTAAGGATTCCAGGATCCCAGACCAAGAGAGTGAGGCATACCGGCGGTTCGTAATGCTGGCGGCCGGGCACCGCGCTCGTGGTACCGGTGCTTGAGGGGTTAATCAAATAACAGGGTACCCCGCTCTGCCCACCGCTTCCTTCATAATAAACACGACAAACAAACAAACGGCGAAATGGCGACCGCAGCAACTTCACACTTCGGCGCTGGAGGAGGATCCGCCACCCAGTACTTGACGGCTAAACCGAACAAGATCAGTTCTAAGGTGATCCTGGCCGAATTGCGAAAGGTGTATTCGAGTTTGTGTCCGAGGGGCTGCTCCACACTCCCCGTACCTGCCTTCAAGGGTTACCTATCCGACACGCAAAAGGTTGCTATCTATGATGACTATTCCGGGAATGAGGAGGACGCGAAGGAAACCGGGGTCCATAGATGGGTGCATAAGGTCTTTGGGCACTCTTCTCAGGCCGTGTCTGCCGAGAAGCTTCTGAGTGATGATCAGGATATTACGTTCGATGAGTTTGTGTCCTATCATGCTACTCCCACGAATTCGGCTTTGGCATTGCCGGATCCGAGGAGGAAGGATTGGAGTAGGCCTTTGAATGAGTATTTCATCTCCAGCTCCCACAATACCTACCTTACCGGTCATCAACTTTACGGGTCTTCCACCACCGAGGGGTACATCAATGTTCTGCGTCGGGGGTGCCGGTGCATTGAGATTGATGTTTGGGATGGGGATGATGGGGAGCCGGAGGTGTTCCATGGGTATACACTTACCAAGGAGATTTCCTTTAGAGATGTTTGCAGGGCTGTTGCGAAGCATGCCTTCTCCGAGGGAGGTAACTTTTGGCAGGGAGGTGCTGGAGAAGGGCCTGTAATCATCAGTTTGGAATGCCATGCGGGGCCTGAACAGCAGGGGAGGATTGTAAAAATCATGAGGGAGCAGTGGGGCGATATGCTTGTTCAGGGCATTGAGCCTGAGGATGTGGAAAACCTCCCGAGCCCGCTGGAGTTGAGAAGGAAGATTATCGTCAAGGCACGCTTTGCTCCCTTAGCTGTATCAACGTCAAACTAACTCTCCAGGCAAAATATCTCCCACCGCCACCAAAAGTCACACCTATGGACGCAACCGCTCCAAGAGTCCCACCCCCGGCGGTCGCGGACTCTTCATCCGATTCATCCGATTCATCCGATTCCGAACTTGAGGAAATGGCGAAAAAGGCCAACAAGCAGAAGCCCCCGAAGGCAAAAGTTACCCGAGCACTAGCAGCACTTGGGATATACTGTTCATCTCACCATTTCCCATCTCACGCGGCTCAACCCTTCACCGAAGAACCCACCTCCAGGATCCCAAATCACGTCTACAGCTTTTCCGAAAAAGTCTTTGCAAACCTCCACGCCCAGCACGCAGAGTCAATTTTCCATCACAACAAAAGCTACCTGATGCGAGTCTACCCCTTCGGCCTCCGTTTTTCGTCCTCAAACGCAGACCCTACCGAATTCTGGCAACGTGGAGTCCAGCTCGTAGCACTCAATTGGCAGAAGTGCGATGAAGGAATGATGCTGAATGAGGGTATGTTTGCCGGGGAAGGCGGATATGTGCTAAAGCCCGAGAGCTATCGTCCCGGTGGCAAGGGGATCCATGAGGACAAGAGGAACCTAGATCTCACTATTGAAGTCATTGCTGCGGCCAACATCCCATTGCCTGAGAAGAGCGATTCTCCAAAGAGGTTTGAACCGTACATTAAGATTGAAGTGCACACTGAGGCAGCTACCGGACTAAAGAGGAAGACCAAGGCTAAGCGGGGGATTGAATGCGCATGGAATGAGAAATTGGAGTTTAAGGGTATTTCAGGGATAGTTGAGAAGTTGACTTTCGTCAGGTGGATCCCCCACCCTCTTTTAGCTTTGCCGATACTTACTCCGCGATAATAGGTTCAAAATCCACGATGAGGAGTTCGGAAGGGATGATCTAGCAGCGTGGGCCTGTATCCGCCTCGATAGACTGCAGGAGGGGTATCGCTTTGTGAACCTTATCAACAACGAAGGTGAACCCTCCGATGGGCTTATCCTGGTCAATATCTCCAAACGGGTTTATTAGTGTAGTAGAGTAGAGCCGGCTTTTGCTCTTCTCTGGGTTGCTTATAAAGCACGGGGCGAGGCCACCATATTATCCTGCGAGTGAGCAGTTATGAAAACCAAATTCCCTCTTCCCTCTTTTCTTTCGTTCATTGCTAGGATGTGAGAGTACTGTATCGTTTTGGGATTAGCTATGGCACTCCGGATTGTCAATTGTATAGTAGATTGACAAGAAACTTGGGCCGTTGGCTACTTTACACCGAGAACAGCCGCTTGCAGAGACTCACAGCTCGCCGCTGCCGGGCCAAGAAATTTCAAGGAGCTGTGAGAATCGTGAAGAAAGCTATTCCTTTCTATAATGGGGGTATAAAGCCTGGGGACCGGCGTCTTGTGGGGGTTTGTGTTGTGGTGTGTTGGGGCCATGCGCAATATGTGGGGGGTGTCATACAAAGGATACCAGACAGCCACCTTGATTTAGGCCATCAGTGGTTTCTCAATCCATAAACCTTCCGATTAACTTTTTCTGCCGAAAACTGCACTCTCTACCTGTCCCCCAGCCCGTTTTGGCCTCGGGGTGGAAACCCCTGAATCCGCTGAGGGTGAGGGAATAGTTGGTAACGAGGGCTCGGTTTTGGTGTGATATGGCTATCGGCCCTAACCTCTTTTCCTAGAGCTCTAACTTGCTTTGCTTTTGCCTATAGCGACAAAAGGTGGCTATGTTGGTAGGCGAAAGGGGCGCAATCATTTCTGTACTCGCACGTAGGTTGAATAGAATCTGCTGCGTAGAACTCATCGCCCCAAGCACCGCGGTAGGATCGCCCGGGGGGTGGAGAAAAAAAAAAGGCAATTAAAAACTATTCCGTCGCCGGGAATTGAACCCGGATCTAGCCGGTAGCTTGCTCATGAGAGCGGCTGATGCTAACCATTACACCACGACGGAAGACATTGTTGAATACAAGTTATCAGATCGCGTACTTATGCAAATCGCCACGATCGTGGCATTGGATGTTAAACCGCTTCGCGATCATTAAACAAGAGGTCTAGTAACCATCTATAGCATTTGCCGTGAGTTCCTAAATGGGATCTATCTACGAACTACTTACTCGGTCGTAAGTGAGGGGGTTTAGAGCTTGTAGAACTGGTTTGGAGTGGGATTGATACCAGCTGCAAGTCTCGCCATGGGCATGGTCAAAGGCACTAGCGGCATACAGAGATTTCTTAATCAATTAGCACCCCACTCACTGCTGCGGCCCAGCACTTGGCAAGAAGGCGCTTTGGGTCGGGTTGATGAGGCTAGAGGAGTTGCAGGCCTTCATCGTACTCCGTGGATCACGGAGAGGGTCAAAGAGCACCGGCCGGAATGGCGGAACGGCGTACCGACACCGATCGCTCCCCGCTCTGCCTCCCGAGTACCGCACTACAGTACACCTCGCGGATATGCACCCATGGGGATATTTCCCGGGACCGTATGATATGAGGGGAGTGTACGAGTACGTACAAGTAACGTATTGTATTGTTTATGGTGTTGGTTGGTTGGGTGGTCCTTGTCGGCTGGCTCGGTAGTGAGCGACAGTGCGGTACCGGTATTTTTATTGAGCCGGTTTAAAAGGCTATAGTAGTAGTCGAGCTCGATTCGGTTTAGGCTCCCTGCTGTATTCGGGTCGCTTAACCTGCGAGCAGTGCCCCCTAATATTACACCAGTACCGGTACTGTAGTTTTGTGTTTTGACCAGCATCAACACTTGCCAAATAAATCAGGTCACCAGTCTCCTCTAACTTAATCTATAACACCACTCCCACACCCCTATCGGCGCATTGAGTGCCCCGTTGTTCTGATCTGTCTCCTCCTTTTTCCCCTCTCAGTCTCATTTTTACTCTACTCATACTCATCTTTTCACCCCCTCGGTCCCAACTTTACACAATATGCTAACCAACTGGCTGTGATGGTATTGGGATTGCATCCCTCAAGAATTAGGGTGTTTCTGAGGATGAGGGCATTGGGGATATTGATCATTGAGTTGAGTTATCCAGGGTTGCAAATACCATTACTGTGTGGACTACAGGTATGTCCAAGTGCATTCGTGAGTGCGCACGCTTTTATTGCAGGACTGCTGCCAATACCAATCGCTATTTTAATAGAGTGCAAGAAAAATCCATACCAAAAACCCCTCTTTACCGCCAGTCCATTTTACCCGATTGAGTTTGGCTCTTCGGGATCGAGATTGCCTCCACATCGTGGAGCTCAATTGTCCCTTAGGAAAGGGGAATTAAGATTCAATTAGATTAACTCCTCCCAATCTACTGGATTTCAATCATATTGCATACCATCCAAGTTCAGTCGGTGTGGTGTTCTATAGCGATTTTTTTTTAAAAAAAACATAATTTACTATTCCGATTAAGATGCGGTATCTCTCTCTCAATGACACATATAGTAGAAGCTTTGATTGAATAAACCTTTTTTTTTTGTCCTAGCGCAGTAAGAGAAAAATGAAATATCGAGTTTAGATAGGGAGAGATTTTCGGGCGCTTCATGAGTCCCGGAAATGGGTGATATCGCGGAGTACAGGCCGGTTACTGGCTTCTTCTGGGAGGGATTACTAAGGCTCTGCTAGTCTTTACTTAAAACTTGCCACTGGAGAGACTTAGAGTAAAATAGTTATGGCGCAAATACTGGTACAAGTACCGGACTAGGGGTGTTGTATGGGATTGGGCGGAAATTACAGTGCGGTATGGGCAACCAATGGCTAGAAGCTCTTGAAGCCGATGGGGGGGGTCGGTTCGGCATTGAAAACAACTACATTACGGTAATCTCATGATTTAGCTGAATTCCCTTTATCGTGGCTACCTTAGTAACACTCACAGAGCTCCACGACCCTCCCTCCCTCTTGAAGGTCGAATCCCTTGGGAATTTCTCCATGAGCACTAACAGAAATTTATACGGTACCAGATCAATGCGTATCCTGCACTCTACAAGTCCAAGATCATCTAGTCACTAAATCCAACCTGTTGACTTGACAACTTAGATGGTTAAGGCCAGCCCTTGCAAAATCGGACTTTATATAACTTATCGATCTGGTGGAGTGGAGATCGGAAGTCCCGCCACCTGATGCTTAGCACCCACATGGCTCCCTTAGCGATTGGGCAGGTGCATGCATCCGAATACCGATGTATATATTAACCGAATTTCATACTATTCTAGAATCCGTGCCTTCGTACTGACAAGGGGACAGCTTTCAATACGACTGGGTGACGGGCCCGTTCTTCCCTGTACTCCCATCAAGCCATCAGAGTTCTACCGATTCCATTTGGAAATCAGTAGGGAATTTATGCCCGGATGGGTAGGTTTATTAGGATCACTACCTGCCGGCAGTACGGCAGTAACAGTGATCCTATTAATATTGCTATCGGAAGAAGAAGCTGCGGGGGATGCCGAATTGGGTACCGTACGGGGAGGGCAGTCAGTTGATCCGGGAACCCAGGAAAAATAAATCTTCCCTTCCCAACCCGGGATACGCCTCGCTAGGTATTTTACCTCAAACCAAGTGCCCCAGAGTTTGGATTGCCACTTTCATCTCCCGTTTAGGGGCTGTATACCGATGAAAGTAGTAATACGGTGGTCTGTTATTTATCCGTATTTCCCTTTCCCTCCCTCGAGGAAAGAGGGAAGGAATGGAGCATATAAAACTGCTCAAAGAGTTTGTCTGGCTCCTCCGGTTTTATTCCTATACGATGTTCCTCTGCACTCGGCGATAGTCTAGTGGATTATTAGGTAGGAGTCACCCTTCAAAAATTCATCATCATGAAGTTCTCTAGTCTCGTTCCTGCCCTAGTGGCTCTCTTCGCCAGTGGTATTTCGCCCGTTTCGGCAGCGAGGATCCTCATGGCGGGCGATTCTACAATGGCAGACTCTCGGTCTTCTATTCAAGGGTTTGTAAAAACTACCTTCCTCAGCGCCTGAGATATGCAAGTAACGAGATGAGACACTCAGATGGGGAACCCCCTTTGCAAAATACATCAGCCTCCCCGTGATCAATCTCGCTCGCGGAGGCCGTTCAGCAAGGTCGTACTACCGCGAAGGCCTCCAAGCCGCACTCGTTTCCCAGATCGAAGAAGGCGACTATGTCATCATTGAATTCGGCCACAACGACGGCGGGAGCCCAGCGACGAGCGACCGGGCTCCAGTGAGTAGTACTTCACTTAAAACTTCAAGTCCATAACTGACTTCGGGAAGACCCTCGGAGATGGCACACAAACAACTGAAGTCAAAGATGCCAACGGGACGGTAGAGATTGTGCAGACGTTCGTTACCTATGAGAAGTGGTTCATCAGGGACATCATCGCGAAAGGCGGTATCCCCGTCGTTTCCTCAACTACTCCCAACGGCGATGTCTGGAACAGCGCGCACACCGAAATGCTAGAGCCGAACCGCTTCGTACCATATGCTAAGATGGCTGCCGGGAGCTTTACACAGGCGACTTATGTCGACCACTATGAAGTTCGCCCCCCCCCCCCCCCTCCGCGTCCGATGGATACCCGTCGTGAATATATATCCAATAATGTGGGCTCACATGTATTGGTGATAGTTCGTGACAATCGCTTTCGAAACCCTGGGATACGAGAAGGTGTACCCGAAGTTGTTCCCTAATGATCATACACATACTTCCCCGGAGGGTGCGGACGTCGTTGCTCAAGCGTTTGTAAACGGGCTTAAGTGCACTAACCACCCGCTTGCGAATTGCTTGACGGATGCGGGGTATGCGTTGACGATAAAGTGCAGGTTTGTGACTCTATTTCCTAGCTATCCGCGAAAGGGACTCGTGAACCTGACAATTGTGCAATTTCCAGTTAAATAATGTTGCGGAATGGGGAGGGGGGGGGAGGGTGAGGGTTGCTGGTATACGTAGTTCTACTACATCCCAGAGAATTGAGTGTTAACATTATTATAATATAAAATTGGCAGTTCGGGTAATTAAGGCAACTTACAGAGCTGGTTGCGATCTGGTTTAAGAGTTCTCTCTTATCTGTGGTCTTTTTAGCTACTTTCTTCAGTTCCAGATTATCACCCTGATCCGCATTCCGCGGAGCGATTGTTGTGCCGGGTACCCGAGCCAGGTCTGTACTCGCCGTACAACCAAAATATCCATAATTAACCCTGCAGTGAAAGGGGGTTTCGGCTACTCCATGATGCTCTCACAGAGGGTTGGGACCGAGCAAGGTGTTGTGGGTTGGCCGAAGGTTGTAAAAATCTAGAACCCTGCACACCCAGGGCGGCCCACCGGAGCTTCTACTTCGTTTGGTAACAAGGGATACCCTCCTGCCCCTTAGAGCACTGCGGTTTGAGCCATCGACAAGCAAAATTCGCGTCGGCAGATGCCGGAAAAGTCACTTGTGTGACGCCAAAGGCACACCCATCTTGATATGGCGTTGGTTTCACGAAATACATTGGGCGGGTTGATACGGAAGGGAAGGGAAGTGCCAATTTCAGAATCGGCTCTCGCACAACATGCATAGGTCATATTGATTCGGTCATGCATCGTCTTGCCAGCGTTGTTAAAAACGCTCTTCCAATCCCGAACTTCTCCCCGGGGTCGAGAGCAGTCTGGCCAGAGGACTAGTGTACCGTTTTCACTCAGGTTGGAAGCCTCACGAATGTGTCTGGAAATCTAGACTAGCTTCACGGGGTTAGCTTGGTACTATTTGGGGTGGTTTAGTATTTTCTCTCTGTACTTGATGATTCCTGGCTACCAAATCACCAATGGTCACTCGGGCTCATGTCCTATAGGTGGAGTAAGCTCCCATGGACTGAGTTACAACTTTAACCACCGGGTTACGCATTTGAACGATATAGAGGAAGTCTCCGCTTTAGCAAACATCCTTAATTGGGTAACTAAACAACCCCTTTAAATGAAAACCGCACAGAGAGAAAGGTGATAGCTTTCGCTTTTGTAAACCCAAATACATAACTCCCGAGTCAATGCTAACCATTTTCTACCCCAATTGGTAAGAGGGAGACTGAATCGCACATAAGTATCTCCTGTCGCACTGGAAGATTCTTGTTTAACTGGCACCTTTGCAAAGTATACCTTCTCCCCCCCAAAAAAAAAACAAAAATGCATATGGCACACAAGCTTAGATCCGAGGTAACTTGGTTGATAAGCCTTCATATCCCTCGTCTGACCTTTTGAGATATTGCACAAGCGGACACGCTCGGCAAGACACCCTTGGAAAACAGACGGTTGGCCCTCGCCTTAAGACGGCCCAGGTTCCCCCTCTTGGACAGGGGATGCCGGATATATTGCAAAAACCAATCCCCCCAACCAGAGCTCAAGGCAAATACGTATATCAGGCTCTATCAGCAATGGCAACTATAATACCCCAGTTTGAGGTCCAACTTTTGGGGTTCTGCCGGTGTATGTGTCACAAACCAGGTTAGTGATAATCCCTCAACCGACTGTATACAGGAAGAGATTTCGAGTGACACCATAACCCCATTAGGTACTTGGTGGGATTTCGGCAGAGATTACGACTAGAGCACTGTATTAACCAAGGGAATGAAATCATTGCTGGTCACTCGCTTTATTTAACTGAGACTGTGTGATCCCCCAAGGGCGGAGACTCCGTATCGATGGTCCCCAATCCGTCCGGGAATCATCCTGTATCAAGCGTCTCAAATCCTGCAGAATGGATCAAACCAAAAAAAACAAAAACAACGGAGACTGGAATTAGTGGGGTATTTCTAGAACTCTAAGTTAGCTTATTCCTACAAGCACGGTGATGGGGTTCTTGGGCCTGTGCGAATTACGCTCAATATCGTATCATACTTGGAAGATTTAGTCCAAGACAGATACATCGGAGTACATGTCGCCTGCGCGAGGAAGAGGGGCGATCACAGTGAATCGGAAAGGTGGGACATAAGAATTGCTGACGTTATACCATCACTAGAGACATCGTGAGTTGCACCGGCAGTGGATCTAACTTAATCGTAGAAACAAACTAAAATAAGAAAGAGGAAAGGGAAGAGCACTCTACACTAATATAATTCCGTGACGATAACTAACCTAGCGTGAACCCGACCTCGAAAGAATACTGGTCAATTCACACAACAGCACAAACTTACCTCTTGCATTTCGAGGCAGTGCTCACTTACTCCTGGTTGCCGTTGCAAACCCGCCTAGCATCGCTCTCCTGCATCGAACGGTTTACGAATGGATATGAGTCTTCCTCCCCCGCCCCCGAGAGCTCTTCTGGAAAAAATCCCTAGAAAAAAGGAAAAAAAGAAAAAAAAGAAAGCAAACCCAACTTATCCGAAGGTTTGATACCCCATGGGCTCTAAGCCTGAATGTTTTACACTATCTTTGGGAGCGGGACCACCTACGGAAAACAGGGTCTGACGTCGCCGCTTTCCTATAGTGGGCCATTATCCGGCCTGTATAATAATGGCATAGGCACAGGCACAGATGCGCAAAAAGTACCCAACTACCATACTTATCCGTGGTGGCTAAGGCGCGCAAGGTATCGACCGGCCCTTGCCGCTCTTGCATGTCTCTAGCTTCAAACACCTTTTAACTTCCCTCCGTTTATAGCCGGTGGAAAATATGATGGACTCTAGATCATCGTATATCACTCGCACTAGACCCTTTTTGAAATTCTGTTTCTCACGAAACCCGTCTAGGACTCTGCGGCTATGGTGATCGGTAGCCTAGATCCCTGGATCCGCGCTACACCACGCTAGATACAAATTTGGCCTCTCCTCCGCGGCTGCGCCATTGATAGCCTGCACTGGAATGGGCATCCCCACCAGGCACCATACGAGATACGCAATCCTGCAGGAACCTCTTTGTGGTCGAGCCCATTTGCTTGTACATGTGTCGTATGTATGTCTGACCTTTGTGATTCGGATAATCCCCTTACTTGGTGCTACTGGGGAGCTTACAGTACATATTTACGATGTAAGCGTGGCCGCTTCCCTGCACTCTAATCGGACGGAGCTCCCCCTCCCTCTCGCACGAAGCTCCCGGACGAGTCAAACACAGAGAACCCGGGAACCAATTTCAAAGGGGCTTACTAATCCAGGTGCAAGCCAATCAGGTGAGCTTTGTGAATTCAATATTAGCCGCAGAAGGTTGATAGGGGAGGATGCTTGAGAGAAAAGGTTCGTGGAATCCCTGACGACATTAGTGCTATGGGAATTAAAGAAGCATTACGCACTCCCTACTTGCTACCGTAGCAACGTAGGGATAGTCAGTATCTATGATTGGTTAATGGGCCAGGAGAATGGTGGGGGATTGCGTTTTACCCTAGCTAGTTAGCTTTCTTCCCGACGCACAACAATTTCTCTAAAAATGTAACGGGCGCTAGTGCCCGTATTTCGCAACCGGGGTTTAACCGGCAATGAACGAAGGAATTGGGAGGAAAAAGAAAAGCGAGGGGAGAAGCCGGGCAGTGGTTGGGGTTTTGGATCCACCAATGAGAGCCCGCTCAAGGTTTGGCGGTTCCAAACAGGCACTATGACCGAGCAGTCGCACGAAATGTCTTGGTTACGACACCAACTTATTATTTGTCCCAAAAGATCCACTCCCAGTACGATACTAGGACCCCGCTTGAGCTGTGGTACTAAAGTACTGGTCCATATGCTTCTATCTGTGCGTGAAGGGCCTGCGCCAATAAGGCTCAACTCATGCAGAGCACCAGGACAAGTAGAACTGCCTCGCAGAACTAAGCCTCACATAGTACTGTTATATGTGGAAATGGGGAGGGGGGGGGGGAGTTTGTCTCAAATAATGTCAACACGGTCGGCTTGTAGTCTCGTTCTCTCTGCATCTGGGCAACGTCGAGCATTTGAGAGGGAGCCATTTCATTCGGGGGCAGGAGGTGCTTTCCCCCCCAAGTAGTCATCCCAATCCCCAGATCGAAGTGGCCGAAGCGTAGTGAGACAGGTTGCGCACATCTGACACATTATTTGACGGACTATATCTCCTATTCCCCGGTCGGGGTCGGATCGTTAGGGGGACCCCGCACAGAGCACATAACGTGTTTAGGGGGCAAGGAAAGAAAGGAGTGACATGGAAAATGAGTGTGCAAAACAGGTGGGTAAATTTTCTGTGCAGTATGGGGCCAGGCTATAGAATTACACCCTGCATTGCTACTAGATGGATCCCAGCTGCGCTCACTGTTGGCCGGGTGTTATACGGAGGGCCCCCATTCCCCTCCTCGCCCCCACCACTCAGGCGGGAGTAGGTCCGTCGAAATATGTCATGTATCATACTTTCAGAGCTTCCTGGGTTCCTGGGGTAGCCTCTGGGGAGAAGCGGGCTGGCCGAGGCAGAGCACTATCCCCGTATCGGTGTAGCCAGGACAGTCGGGTTGGATGGATTTGCTTTTTCCCTTCCCGGGACTAGAGTTTCTGAGATCTTGTGAACACAGCACAGACACATCCTCTGTGTAGATAATGATAGAATGGGGAAGCCCCTGAACAGTGCTGAACTTTTGAAAAATCCTTCCAGCAACTCAAATAGGGCTCCAGAAAATGTTCTACTGGCAAAAAACACGCGGAGAGCAGCGATCAACCAGGGGGAGTCATTATCGAGAGGTTACAGTATTAGAAAATATCATTTCCGGTATCTGCTCATCAAAGGCGCGTTCATCATATTATCATATCCTTTTCTGCAGGGGAAACCCGGTAAATACCAAGCACCGTTTCCCGAGCATTTCTTGTGCCGGTAAATGCTCAGTCCTGGGACGTTTCTCCCACCGTTTTTCACCCCCCCCCCCCCCCCCCACCCCATCCTCTCCAGGAAGGAGGAGAATTTATTTTCTTTTTTTCCTTCCATCCCAATAATGGGGAGTATTGTAA